GGCTGGGAAATGGCTATCCTACCTGTTCCGCGGGCTGCCCGAGATGGCTGCCTGAGCTTGCTGCCCAAAATTCAACCTCGGGTAGATGGCTGATCAACTCCCTAACCCCAGAATGGGGTCTGCCATTTAAGTCCTGCTGCTATACCAACAAGATTGAGCAACACGGAAGTGACCCCCCTGACACGCTCGGGAGTGCCATTGTAGCAATTCTGACCGAGTGCTACAATGGGGCCTCGCTCGTATGCTGCTACAATCACTGAAACCCGTGTATCTCCTGAACAACTGGACCAAATCAGATGGGGAAACAAACAGCTAGGCCAGAATGGTCTCTGTCATGACAGTGGTGCTGTCAGAATCACTGTACCAACAAAATTGAGCATGACAGAAATGACCCCCCTGTTACGCGCGGGAGTCTGCCCGAAATTGCTGCCAGAGATTGAATCTCGGGCAGTCCCCCTGACACGCGTGCAAGGGCTATCTCCTCAACCACTGGACCAAATCAGATGGGGAAACAAACAGCTAGGCCAGAATGGTCTCTGCCATGACAGTGGTGCTCTCAGAATCACTGTACCAACAAGATTGACCATGACAATAGTGACCCCCCTGACACGCGTGTGTGCCACGTCATCCAAGCGCGCCCACTATGCCCGCCCACTTGACTGGGCACCAAGTGGGCGGGCAACTGGGCGCTCAAGACACGTCTACACGCGGAATAGACACGTATCAACAAACCCTTGTCACACAACACAACACAAACAGCCTCGGCTCATCAACAACAACTGATCAACCAAACATTAGGCTACACTATCAAGTGAGTGTGACAGTGTGTACATGACGGGTGGTGCTTTGATTGATGACAGATGTGTCCCTAGTAATGGTTGTACTACGTAACGGCAGAGACACTCTGAACAAGAATGCCCCACCTCCGAGACGTGGTGCAAAGACCCCTGCTGTCAAGAAGTCCAGACCACGAGCAACCAGGAAGAAGGCTGCTCCCAAGATGAAGCCCAAGTCAAAGCGAGCAAAGGCTACCTTCACTAGACCAGAGACACCCCTAAGTGACCGAGACTTGATTGTGGTACAGAGAGTAAGTCACCCAGGATGCTTGACACGTCACGTAGCATGGCTGACTTGGACGTGATCACAGCATGTCCCGGCAGTCAGAGATGCCCCTGATGTCAGTAGTGATAGCAGCAGTGATCATCTGGTTGATAGTGATGAGGAGAGTGACAGAGATGGACCGGTAGAGGTGAGTACTGTTGGGGTGTTCAAGTGATTGATGTCCCGAGTGACTGATGTCCCATTTACGTGTAGGAGGATGCCCCGGTGACACCCTTTGTCATTCCCAATATGAACATGTTCCTGTCAATGGCACAGTGCTCAGACGAGTTCAGGACTACTGTCATGAACAGCTTCAAACCAGGTGCCAAGGACGTGGACAAGATGGAGATCTGCATGTCACCGCGGTTCTACTCCCGGCAGTTTAACAACCCGCTAGCCCTGGTCAGGCTGTCCTCTCATGCACCGAGGATCAAGAGGACCAAGCCAGGGGACAGAACCCATGAGTTCTCAGAGTGGCTCCTACTGGCAGAGTCATGCTACCAGCTCTGGATAGACCCTCGGTACAAAGATGCCTTCTTTGCGGAACTCAAGAAGACGCGTACCATCAACCCAGCCAAGAACCCCTGGGTGTCCAGCTACGGGAGTGCCTACATCCCTACCACCATCCTGGCATCCTGTCTCACCAAAGCTGGCTGCCCTACCATCAGGTACAAGGCGTATGGTCAGAAGCTTCCTGTCCATGCAACACTCATGAGGGGTTTTGAGCCCGAGGACAAGGCACATCCCCAACGGAATACCAACGAGTGGGACATTGGAGTCACCTACCAATCACCCTACATCATCCTCTTCAGGCCTGGAGAGGGTGCTTCCCCGGGTACCAAGCACTACCCAATGCTGTCTCCAGCTTCCAGGGACTTTGGCTCGGTACAGACCACTGTTGTCTGGGATGACACCACGCTCAAGGTCAAAATCTATCCCCGGCTGGTCCACGTCATCAAGTCATACAACAGCCGACTGCAGGGAGAGATCTTGACTACTCTGGCTGGTGCCAAGAAACGGTTCAAGGCATCTGTCAACATGGTGCAGCTGTTGTCTCAAGTCCCAGAGGAAGAGATTGGAGGGTTCAGGATAGAGGTCACCGTGCCTGCACCAACACTCGGTGCCGCGTGCATGTGGATGGACAGAAGTCCATTCACTGGGATAGGATTCTGGACCAACCCAAGTCCCGGTGGCACTGGTCCTAAGGTCAACATGATGGTCACCAGGAAGGATGCAATACTCCTTAATGCCAACTGGATGGTGCAGAGAGCAACCACGTTGAAGGTCTTCCAGGGGAGAAATACCGATCTGCCAACTAAGCTGCAGAAGCAAGTCACCGCAGACGTGCTGGCTTCTTTTGGTTGGAATGCAGGGAGGTACAAGGTCACCCTAGCCGGTGACAAGGCTGCATGGTGGAGAGGCAAAGGTGCTGAAGGGGAACAAGGAAATCCAGACATCCCCCAGCTGGATGAAGCACGTACGGGAACACACCACAGCCAGCGCGTCACAACCAAGGTACCCGACACTGTCATTTCCCAAGTCCTGCTACAGCTCAACAGGATCTACCCGGGAGATGCAGGTACCAGGGATCTGGTCAAGGAATTGAGAAAGCACCATCCCAACCGTGACATCCCTTGTCAGAAGGATAGCAAGCACGCCTACAACATCTACGGCTGGGGTCCATTCAGGATGAGGTGTGCCGAGTGGACGTGCAAGCACAACCTCAATGCAGGCAACTCCTACATCTGGTTTGCCAATCTCATTGCTACGGGACAAGTACCAGGTCATCTACTTGGTCTGCCTCCAATTGAAGGTCTCCCTGTGGCTGCCCCACCACCTCCTGTCAATAGGATCACACCCGAGCGTGCCAAGTTGATTGCCGCGCGTCAGAGCCATCTCGCTAAAAAGGCAAAACTACTGGCATTCAGGACGACACCCAAGAGACCTGCCCCATCACCATCCCACCCTCCTCACACACCCATCTACTCAGATCAAGTCAGTCTGATCAGAGGTTCCAACCCCCCAGCATACCATACAAGTCACACTGCAAAGGACGGCAACTGTATGTTTGGAGCCATAGCATTTGGCCTCGGTCATGGCTATACCGCAGCCAAGGTCAGGGAGGAGGCTGTTGAGTGGATACGTGTGCACTATGAAGACTACCTCCCCTTCATAGAATATGGAGAAGAAGGACAGGCAGCAGCATTCAGGGAGTACTGGCAAAGAATGAGCCAGTCGGGTGAGTGGGGTGATGAGCCAGAGATCAAGGCCATCTGCGCGTGTTACAAGGTCAGGATCTCAGTCCTGAAGAGACGGGTGGACGGGGGTCTTTTCTGGAGACACCATGGTCAGCCAGAGCATACCAAGTGCCTCTGGCTCTATCTCAGTAACAACCACTATGAGAACCTGTACCCTGCTCATCACATCACCCGGGTCTGGTGAGTGACGGGTTGTGGTGTCTGCGGTGTCTGCGGTGACTGCTGAGCTCATGTTGTTTACTTTGTCATTCAGATGCCCCACGCGTGACGTGACAGACAACCACTTGGGCAAACAACTCTGCTGTTTGGACAATACACATGTAATGATTAGAATGACCTTGTTGACTGAATGGCATGTACATGACAGCTGTGTGAAGGATGGCTCATGTGGATGGTGAGAATAGGTTGATGGACGGGTGGGGACTTGCACGCGCGGTGACAGGCTGTTTGTTTACTTTTTGCTGCCCCCCTCGCGCGAGACAGCCTGATGACGTGGCCACCAGCGCGCGGGACAGACCTCCTATGGATATGCTCAAGTCACGTCAACAACCTCACCCCCAAACTGCCCAGCGTGATTTCTAAGTCATTTCACCTTCAAAATGGTCCAACCAAGCGGGATAGTGTTCTGGAACTTTCAGACAATTTCATTTTTTGGGAACTTTAACTTTTTTTTTTGACTTTTGAGGTCATTTTGACGTGTTTTTGACCCGTAGCAGTCACAACAAGGGCCCAACCACAGATTGGATAGTTCATTTCTACTGTCCAAAGGTGCCTCTATCCATTGGTACAACCCTGGGAGCGCTGGGATGAGCGGTTCTCAAAAGTGTGTTTCATACCCCGGGGTGGGAACCCCCTATAAGTAGTTGTGCTGGTGCAGAGTGTGACTGTGTGGGAGACCATTGCCTGGCCGGTTGGTGTTGTTACCATTGATACTCGCGCCGCTATCGCCATATCTTTGAAGATCAGGGGGGAAACTCTGCTGGTGGGGAAAATAGGCTAGATGGCAGGCAGGAATCGATCACACAGGGGAGGGTGCGTTAGGTGTGGGAGGGACTATGTAGACATCCTGGAACATGTCAGGCGCCGCCATCAGGGAGAGAGTTGGGAGGAGGACGAGGTTTTGAGGATGGGACTTGCGATGTGCGCATGCGGGACGGTGGGATTGGACGAGGCGGGACTGAGGAAGCACCAGACGGTGTCCAAGTGTGTGGGGATGGAGGCCGAGGCGTCAGGGTCTTTTGCCTGCCCGAAATGTGGCTCGAAACCGTTGGGGATGCTACAACACCTACGGATGGCTCACCCGTGTTCCCTCTGGAAGGCCGAGGATTTTGTGGGATCTGGGCTGGGCATATGTGGGTGCGGAGTGGCCGTGAGGAACAAGGCGGCGCTCCCGGCCCATCGTCAGGAGACCAGGTGCAGGGTTTGGAACGGGGCTAGGGAGTCGGAAACGCCGATCCCCCACTCTGGACCGCGGAGGTCGACCGGAAGACCTGAGGCGGAAACGTCTCAACAGCCATCGACGGCAGGTCCAAGGGAGACCAGGGCGGCAGGGAGGAGGAGACAGGCGGCCGGTGACGGGTCGGGAAGAGGGGCTCTGGTGGAGAGCATCGACGGGGCGTTTGACGACATCCCCTTGCCCAGCCTACCACCAAGGACGACGCAGGAACAGAGCGCACGGGGGTGGGAGCCATTGACCACGTTTGGCAAACACCACCATCTGCCAGTGACCCCGACAAGAGTGCCTCTCAATCCCATCACCCCGCCCAGCGTATACGCACCGTTGGAACTAGTGGCTAATGACCGACCCCTACCAATTGGGGTCAGGTCTAGGACTGTCCTGCGACCTCAGCCGAGGAGGAGGCCGGGAGCTCATCAGGACGGAGGAGTATACCCGGTGCTTCAGCTAGAGCCCATCGACGGGACTGCGGAACCGATAGAGCTCCCTTCTACTTCCCCCGAAAGCTCACTGGAGGACATCCACTTCACCCAAGAGACGCTGGACGCCATCATCGAGCTGGAACGGCAGGCAAGCGAGGAGCATGACAGGGTAGAGGAACCTAGACCACTGCCTCGTAGGGAGTCTGTGGAGGATCTAGCATCGCCCTTCCTCTCTGTGGCTGGCACAGAAGACGCCATAGAGGAGCCACCCGCGCTGCCACAGGACGAGGCCGACGAGGTACTCCCAGGTACTTTTGAGGGAGTCGCCGGACGTCACCTACTCCCATCCTTGAGCCCACCTTTGGCTGAGAAGGTACAGGACGAAGCGGGAGACCTGATCGCTACGCCCGTGCCGACAAGGACGCCTATGACGAGGGGAACCAGTGGCTTGTCCCCAACCGCCCTTTCCAACGGGGTGGAAGGAGATGTGTCACCCGCCCCAAGCACCCCGCCCAGACCACTGACCCAGGTGGTTCGCGCTGCGAGGACTGAGGCTCCCACTGCTGTTGTACCTGCTGACGTGCCGTTTGCCCCCGAGGCTTCAGAGTCGCCCGAAGCTTGGCCGATCCGGCAATTGGGACCGCCCCGCCAGAAGAGGCCGCGTGTCCTGACGCCATCACCAAGCCCTGCAGCACGATGGGAAAGGAGGGGAGGAGTGCCTGCAGACTCGGACGAGGAGTTTGCAGGAGAGGACGACGGGATGGTGTCCCCGGGGGATCTGAATTACTCCTCGCCGGAGAGCACGCCATCCCCAGGAACACTGATGACGGAAGAGACGCGGTTTAGGAGGACGGGGGGACCTACCCCTGATCCTAACCTGCGTGACGTATGGACGGATGAGACCTTGTCGGTACACCAAAAGTTCTTGATGCTCGCTGACCTGCCTACTATCAACAAACCAATCTTTGGCAGGGTAGCGGATGCGTTTGGAACGGCAGCCGAGAGGGTGGCGGAGGCCTTTGCTTCTGATCCTTCCGAACACAACCTGTTCCTATTCCTGGCTCTACCTAAAGTGGGGCTGGGACTGGGGATGAAGCGTGCCGGGATGGGCGCAGAGGAAAGGCTAAAGGCTTATCCAAAGGTAGAGTGGCAATGGACGAGACAGCCGGGGAACGCTGGTAAGACAGGACGATCCGGGGGAAAGGCCAAATCGGTGGCCAAACAGGTAGAGGATGGTAAGCTAGGAAGAGCGGCGAGGATGCTGGCGGACGACGCCAAGGTGATGGATGTCGACGACGAGTTGCTGCGGCAGCTCAGGGAAAAACACCCAGAAGGACGCCCAAGAGGCGCTTTTGGGACGGGCCTGGGACCGCAACCAGGCACGGTGCCTCCTATCGAAGGCATCCTGGACGCCATGACGACGTTCAGGCCAGACACGGCGCCTGGGATTTCAGGCTGGACACACCATCTGCTGAGTGTGGTGTTGAGGCGAGACCCTGTCATCGAGATGGTGCATCAGCTGACGGGAATGATTGAGGGAGGTATTGCCCCCGGTCAGAGCATGTTGTGTGCTTCACGCCTGACGCCACTGGCAAAGCCAGATGG